CCCCCCCCTCCCCCGTGCCGGCTTTTCGGCTTTTCGGCTTTTTCAGACTCATACAAATGGAGCCGCCCTCGCCCCCTGGTGGTCGGCCGTATAACGTTCTGTTGCAACCTGAGCTCCAGCTCTTCTGACCTGTCAGTCTGTGCCTCCTAGAACCCGGTACATGTAGGTGTGGGTGTGCGTGTGGGTGCGTGTGTACAAGAGTGCATGTGTGTGATGTGTACGTGTGTCAATATGCACGCCTGTATGTGCATGTGCACGTGTGGATGTGTGCATGCATAGGCGTGTATGCACACATGAGTGCACGTGAGTGTGTGAGTGCGTGTGCACGTGTGAGCAGGTATGGGAGGCGGGTCAGCTCCCCCTCTGCATCCTGCCACAGATCCCCTCGACGCCTCCTGGCTGGTCCCTGACACGCAGCCCAGCAGAAAACGCTGACACCAGCTAAGGTCCCCACAGGGACGGTGCAGGGCCCTCAGCACGGGGCGGGGATTGGAGAGTGCGCTGGTCTGAGCGTGGCCATGTGGTGGGCAGTGAGTCGTGAGCGGGCAGCCCTAAGAGAAAAGCGAAAGGCTCCCCTAGCCCGGGCGCCGGGACGGCGAAGCTATTTGCCATCTTCCTTCCTTGGGGCCTGAGGGAAGCTCACAGGGGTGATTCCTAGATTCTTCTCTTACCAAAAAGGCCCAAGCAAGCGGTTTGCTCAACACCCTAACCCCCAAGTAAGCGTTCTGGTCAACGCCCTAATTCCCACTAGGCCATAAAGTAAGTATGCAGTCTAACTAAACAGCCTGGCAAACACCGGGCCTGCGCAGTTACCATCAAGTTCCTCGTCCTTTACCTGTGAGGACGGTGCCCAGGGCAGGAGGAAGCGCTCAGATTCCAATTCAAAGGAAGGACGGGGCAGCTAGCAGACGGCCACCGTGAGTATTCATGACCCATGGCCGCTAGTGATCAAGTACCGTAACAGGACCAAGGTTAACAGGACCAAGCGCAGTGGCCACCTGGCCATCTGCCCGCCCAGGAGCCTTT